ATTTCGGTACCTGACCCTCCCAAATCACAGTTGTTAAAACAGACGCTGTAGGCCTCAATACTCGGCGGTGACGGTAGTGAAGTGAAGTTCAACATCAATTAAGTGTTATGAACTGTGTTAGGCATGCTCTCCAAGGTGAAACGTCAGCTTTTTGGTTTAAGGTGAATGGCCCTTAGACCTGTGCCTCTGTCGATCCTGGGCGGCTCTCTTGCTTCTGTCCTTCTTCGTTCCTTCGAAGATCGCTTGCCCACCTTCGATCTCCCTCCCGCTTCTGCTTTATCTGCCTCTTGCATAGCCCCGGAGCTCGTGGACTTTGTGCATTGGCCTTCTTTGCTGGCGGGCATAGGGATCGGTCTCTGCTTGGGCCCAGTCATTGATTTGCTCTATCTCTTCAGGGTGTGGTGGAGCGCAGTGGTCCGTGAGAGAATCCTCCTTCTGAGGCGTCAGCAAGGCCCTCTTTATCGAGTTCTTTGACTGTTGTATGAGTGATCTGGAGGGCGAGCTTTTGAGCTTGGCCAACGCAGTGCGCGAACTCACCTTGGAAGTCAGGAAGCAGGGTCGTGAGCTGCAGGCTCTTCACCGGCTTGTCGAGAGCAGGCTGGACTTTCAGGTGATCTCTGAGCCCGACAGCAGTCGGCCGGCAACACCGGCCCGCCTTACCGCAGCATCCAGTTCCCTAAGCCCTAATCCTTACAACCCTCCAGCCGGCCCTAGCCCTCCCCGCTGTTCAGGTGCGTCCGCCGTGGCTGTGTCTTCCAGCAAACAGGCCAGCAGGCTTATTTCTGATCAGGAACGCCGGCTTGTGGCTGAGCGAATCGGAGCCTTCTTCAAGCAGAGCCTAGCAGGGCAACATCGCGGTGCCAGTGGTCGCGAGGACAATCCTTTGGGTTCAAAGCTCTACGTGCTCATTCGGGACGCGCAGGGTTGCACATACTCCCCTCCTGTACTTGTGGCGAGCTTTGCAAAGTTGAAGAGGCTTGTGAAGCCGCAAGGCGTTGTCAGTGAGGAAGCGATTTTCTGTGGTTTCCCGACCCAGTGGGAAGCTGCTTTAGCCTGCAGCAGTGCCGGCCTTGCGCCGCCCGTTGCTCGCGATGTCTGAGGCAGAAGCCGAAGCCGAGGAGAGTGGATCCGAGGAGGTCCACCGCCCTGCCGACCTCTACTTCGTCTGGTCGGGTGGGGCGACTAATTTTGAGTATGAAGTGGGCGCTCTCACTGTTGGAGAGGGCGACAATGCAAAACAGGTTGCAGTCATTCTTGTCACAGCTCTCGAGGGCCGAACCCTCGCCGTCTTTCCCCAAGGGGCTTGGGCCAAAAAGGTCAAGCAGCGCCGACTACCCTCAGGCCCTTTTTCAAAGCCGCTCTTGGCCGAGGTGGCCGTCTCTTCGGTGAAAGACCGCAGATTGCCTGAGCAACGTTCGCGCGTGAAGGTGTGGTTCGGTTTGCTTGAGGATAGCTTGGCAAATTTGGTTACGTTTGACGTGCCCGGCCCCGTTGATATGGGTTTTCAGCTGGCCGAACAGAGCCGGCTCCCTTTCGCACAGGCCCTTGTCGATGTGGCGGAGAGCCAGTTTGGATTCATGACGGCGGCCAGCCCCGATCAGGAGGCCGGGGGAAGTGCTGCGTTGGAAGCGCGGCTAAGGGCCCTTGAGGCTTCTTTGAAGTCGGTAGTCGGCAGTGTGCAGCAGCTTGTAGACCGCCAGCCCGAGCGACAGCGGCCAGACGCCGTTGCAAGGAGCAAGGCCCCGGCTAGGAAAAAGAAGCCCGAAGGATCCATCCCAGGCACTCCCCCTCCCCCAGGCCGAGCAAGAGAGGTGCCAGGTCTTGACCCAGCTGTCCTGCAAGCAGCTCGTGATGCGGGCGTGCGGCCCGATGAACTAAACGAGCTTGCGGGCTTTCTCGGGAGCCGATCGCGACCCTTGGGTGATTTCCCAGCTGCAGGTGCTGGTGCCGGTGACCTTGAGGCACCGTCCGAGCTCGGTGGCAGCGGAGCCGAAGGCTCTGAACGTGGCAGCGGCGCCGGAGGCCAAGCTCCCATCGAGGCTGCCGTGGTTACACTCACAGGGCTCATGAAGGAGATCGTCAAGGACCGCACAAGGCAGAGCGACCGTGCGCTCACACTAGAGTCTGCCTTGGATCGTGCCGAATCCTCTTCATGGGACGCCTCAGGAAGCGCGAGCTCAGGATCGCGATCCAAGTCGGTCGCATACCGCGTGCTCCGCGAATCCCTGAGGAAAAGGCCTGAGGTCATATACCAAAGCATCGAAAACCTGCTTGAAGAAGATTTGTTATCCCGCCGCGCGACCGGGAACCTGGCCGCGTCTCAAGCGTCGGCCAGAGCGTGGGTCGAGTTCCGCAGCCGGGTGGGAAATTATCCCAGCACGATCAGAGCCATGTGGGCAATAGCGGGAATTTTAGACAGCCTCCGAGATGGGTCGCCTGCCGAGGCGCGTGCCCGCGCTTGCCTTGCTCTTGCATCTTTTGACCAACAAAGCATAGATAATGGAGCCTGGGTGTATGCTCAGGAAATCACGCTAGAGCCTAGCCCACCCCTGAGCGCCTTCCAGTCCCGTCGAGTGGTAGTCTCTGATCCTCTCGACTCGTATCATAGCAAATTGCTTGATTCACGCGTCGCCGATATACTTTTGCACAGGGTCAAAGAGTTGGAAAGCTACCTTGACGCAAAGCGGAAACTCAGCCGAGGAAGGCCGAGCGATCCCCCTCCACAGAAGACGGACGACGATGATCACGGCCAAGGGCGCGGACGCGGCCGAGGCAAAGGCGAAAAGGGAGGCCCCTCCGGGGGCCAGGCGAAGTGACTGGTGTGGTTGAAGTTCTGCCGGCCGTCCGGCTTTTTCGGCATGGCCCTACCTGGCGCTGGTGCCTCCACGTTTGTTGCAAGCTCTTTTTGGAATTCACTTCAAGCAGCTCTCGATTGCGATAGGGCGCTGCTCTTTTGCCTCGCTCCGAAGCGAACCGGGAAATCCTTTGTGAACCCGTTTTTCTCTGAAAGCCTTTCCGAGATGGAGGCTCCCACCGGTGCTCTCGCCCAGTGCGACAAGACTGCCCTTCGGCTTACAGCATTGGTCATGGACCACCTCCTTGCTCGGCCTTTGAACCGTTTGAAACGAGGACCGGCGTGCAGTCCGTACTGTGCGCAACGTTCCTCCCAGCTTGTCTCTCCTGTCTCTCGTGGTTGGGACCGGGTGGCGCGCAGGGTCCTTGCTTGGAACGAGTACCCGGCAGTCTCGGCCGAAGAGATGGGTAGGGCGGCCACCAAAGTTGAAAAGATCGAAGAGCAGGTGGCTTCGTTGCGCTACGCAACCCCCGACGCGCATACCTGCTTGCCTGACATTGCGCTTGCTCGTGATGTCGACGCCAGCCGCGTCACCTTTCCAGAAGCGCCTGCCTTTGATCCTTGTCCTTTTCTTGACGACACCCTTCGAGATCTGTATGTCTTTCCGAGTCGTTCATCCTGTGGCTTCGCCGATCTCCCCGACCCCCCTAGGGTAAGGTTTAGGGCCCGAGATAAGAAAGCTAGGATTGAACTTCTTACCCTCCTCGACAGCACGGACCGTTTGGCACTGCATCCTGCTGAGCCCAGCGACATGCTTGGATGTGCAGGGCTGTTTGCAATACCCAAGTCTATGGAGCGGGATAGGCTCATTATTGATGCTAGGCCGGGAAACATGACACAAGCCACCGACACAGCGTGGTTGATCACGATGGCCACTGCCAGCAGCTTATTAGGTTTGGAACTGCTTCCGGAGGAAGACTTGTGGATTAGCGGGGCCGACGTGAAAGATTACTACCATAATTTCCTCATATCGGCTGACCGCTCGCATCTTTATAGATTCGTGGGCACCTACACCCCGGCTGAGCTCAGTCACCTCCGAGCCTTCCGGCCGGAACTGCTTAAATGCAAAGCCATCTCGGCATCGCTCTGCACGATGGCCATGGGAGACGTGAACAGTGTCACTTTCGGGCAAGCTGCACATGTCGGGCTGATGCTAGCCGCGGGCGTGATCCCCTTGTCTTCCCTGCTCACCTTACGAGGCAGGATACCTCGCGCTCCCACTACCATGGGGGTGGTGATCGACGACTTGATTCTCCTTGAGAAATCCCTAAGGTCTGTCGGCCCTCTGCACTCTGCGGATATTATGGCCGCTGCCCACCAGGCATATAAGGACGCCCACCTGCCAATCCACGCGGGAAAATGCTTCCAGGAAGCGACAGCCGCCACCTTCTGGGGTTGTGACGTCGATGGCAGTGCAGGTTGGGTTCGCCCGAGCTGGGCCCGTCTTGTTCCTTTAGTGGGGCTCAGCCTGGCTTGTTTGCGGTTGCCTTGTCTCAGCGTGAGCCTCTTGGAGACGCTTGCTGGGTCATGGATATCCGTGTTGTCGTTCCGCAGGCGGTGCCTCAGCATGCTCGATCACATTTATGTGTTGCAGCGTGGCAAAAGTCGGAAGGAGCTAGTGAGTAACATCCCGGAACTCCGGGCCGAACTTTTCTGTTTGTGTGTGCTGGCTCCACAGTTAGCATCCGACCTCCGGGCGCAGAGCTCGAACTACTTGGTCGCCACGGACTCCGCTGATGACCGGGGGGCCGCGGTCGGCAGCTCGCTCGAAGGCAGTTGGGGTCGCGAACTGCAGCGGCACACCCTCACAAAGGGTCTGTGGAACCGGCTACTGAAGCCGAGCGACGTCATGCTGAGGCGTGCCGGGCAGTTACCTTGGGACCAGTAGTTACCAGGAGAGAACTACCGCACACATGCCTTCTGGACTCGCCTCGCTCGTAGCCTCCCTTTTCACCCGATAGCCGATTTCCCCCGTAAGCCCCGCACCCACATAAATGTGAAAGAGTTAGAGAGTTATCTGGTCACCGAGGAGGCTCTCTCTACAAATGTGTGGGAGGGAGCGCGCTTTGTCACCATGCTCGACTCGCAGGTATGTCTGGGCGCACTTGTGAAAGGGCGTTCCAGTAGTGTAAGCCTTAATCGAGCTTTGCAGGCTTCCGTGCCCACATACCTGTTCTTTGGGCTTCACCCCGCCTACACCTTTGTTGCTTCTGAAGATAATCCTAGCGACGACGGCACACGACGCCGCCCGCTTAGGACTCCCTCTCTGGAGCTCCCTCTCTGGTACGGTCCAGGAGTCTACGGTGACTTTGAGCCCCTCGATGATTTTCTGCGAAAGCTCGAGCTACTGCCAGAACAGCTCCAAGGCCTTCCCGAGCTCTTTGAGCGGTTCGTCTCCAGATCGGGGTTGCCTCTGCCTGCCACTGTCTCTCGTCGAGTTCGCTCCGAGGACC